GCATTTTCCTTTGGCACAGACAGGTGTTCCCTGCTGCTCATTTCCACCCATGGCCTTGACCAGACTGACCCACGAGCATCCATCCTGGGTGGAGAACAGTGTGTGACTGCAATAAAGAAGGCCAATGCTATGCTGGGGATTATTAGGAAGGGTACTGAAAACAGATCAGCCAATATCATAATGTCCCTATATAAATCAATGGTGTGACCTCATTTGGAATACTGTGTGCCGTTCTGGTCACCACACCTTAAAAAGGATATTATAGTTTTGGAAAAAGTGCAGAAAAGGGCAACTCGAATGATAAAAGGGTTGGAACACTTTCCCTATGAGGAAAAGTTAAGGCGCTTAGGGCTCTTTAGCTTGGAGAAACGACGACTGAGGGGTGACATGATTGAGGTTTACAAGATTATGCATGGGAAAGAGCAGGTAGAGAAAGAGGTACTTTTCTCCCTTTCTCACAATACAAGAACTCATGAGCACTCCATGAAATTGCTGAGCGGTCAGGTTAGAACGGATAAAAGGAAGTCCTTCTTCACCCAAAGAGTGATTAACACATGGAATTCACTGCCACAGGAAGTGGTGGCGGCTACAAGCATGGACAGCTTCAAAAGGGAATTAGATAAGCATATGGAGCAGAGGTCCATCAGTGGCTATTAGCCACAAGATATAGATAGGGACTCTGGGGCAAGTGATGCTCTGTCATCTTGGTGCTTGGGGGGGGGGTCAACAGTGGGAGGGCTTCTAATGTCCTGGCCCCACTGGTGGACCTCCTGATGGCACTGGTATTTCTGGCCACTGTGTGACACAGAGTGATGGACGGGATGGGCCTTTGGCCTGATCCAACATTGGCGTCTCTTATGTTCTTATGAGAAAGGGGGGTCTTCTTTGCTTGCTGGCCGCACCAGCCTTTTCAAAGCAAGGAATTGTCCATGACACCTGTCAGCTATGATCCAGAGCTGCTGTGACGTAAGGTGGCCTGCCCTGGGATGATCCCTTTTTGCAGGGACAAAGAAAGCCAGTGAGAATCACAGACAAGAAGGGCATGTGAGACAGGAGGCAGCGCCCTGTGCTGCTTTGTGTTCTCCCTGGAGCTACGTGACCGCATGGAGATGCGAGCACAGATCTCGCTGGCTGCCGTGCCGCGCTGCACCGCACAGGCCTGCGGGAGTCACAAGCCCGTTCCTTCTCACAAGAAGTGACAGGCCGGACCCCTGTCTCCCTTGGCTGTGCTGGGCTCCCTTCAGTCCCTGAAGCTTCTAGGTGCACCAATGCTGCTTTTAACCCTACATTTTCAAGGCGGGACTGCTTGACTGGCCACTGAGCCTGAATGCTGGCCAGCTGAGACGCACTCCCACCCCCCACCCCCGAATCAAAATAGAAGGTCTTATTTAATCCCTGCATGTCAAAAAAAGTTTACCTTTTAAAACCAAAATGGACTGCGGTAATGGTAAGGATCTTTGCAACGTAAAAAAGAGAGGCAGAGAGGCAGGGAAATTCAAACTGGGGCAGCGGTGGTGGGGAGGTTGATTTTAACTTTGCCCTTGTGCCATTCTTCCAGTACGAATCACCTTCTTGTTTCCACCCCGCCAACCAATGGTGGAAAAACAGAGAGGTATCTGTATATGTTCCCCTCGCCTCCGGGGCAACAAGCAATTCCAGGGTCTGTGTATGTATCACCGAGGATGGGGTGGAATGGCATGGGGGAGGGCTAGCCCCCTGAGTCGTCTTTAATTTGTGCCTGCTTTTAGCCCTTTTTTAAAAAAAATCCAAGAGCCTAAACACATATCTCCCAGGTCATGCCTAGGTCCTCAGAGGAGCCTACCCTGTGTGTATTTGCATGAGTCACTGTTCTGCCCCATTCCTGTCTGTACTGGGTGTTGCCGAAGGGTCCATTTGCTCCTGAGGCAGAATTACCTGCCCCCAATAGAAGGTGTTTGAAGGAAGCAAGGCCAGAGCAGTGGCTCATGCAGGGATGCAGCAGGCACCCTCATCTGTGGGTGGAGACTTCCTCCTAAGGCTCTGCAAAGTGTACTCCAATCCGCCCCCTTCCTCCCTATGCATATGCCTCTTGCAAGACCACTGTAGTGTTGCAGCTACCATTAGAATAATCTCTCCCTTATATATAAAGCCATAGTCGGCTCCAACGTTCCAAATGCACACCTTTAGTGTATGGACGCTTGAACTGTCAGCCAGAAGACGCTGGCTGGGTTGACTGGCTGCTTTGTGCAGTCCCGCCCAGCGTTTCAAGGTCTTTTGCATATGGAAGCTGATTGGACTTCACTCCATTCCACACCTCAACCCCCCCCCCCCC